AACTAGCCTCCTCTGAGACATTCTGCATTCTCAGCTTATGCATGGTCAGTTGCAGATAAATTAATGAAAGTGGCAGAAGAGCTGAAGAATTACATGTCCAATGGCATATTGCAGAGATAAAAAGTTAAGGAAATAACATTTAAACAGGAACACCCCTGTTTATAGTCATGAATTTAACTACAGCTACAAACTGAAACATGACTGATTTCAAACCCTAAATTACCATTAGGTGTACTAAACCTAGAGTTGTCTCCCCCACCGCCCCCGGCCTGGGCCACCTGCCCCAAGCTGGTGCCTTCCAGATAGTTTGGCTTCCAATGCTCTGTTACAACCCATATAACTAATGGTTGGGAATGGAGGAAGTGGTGGTCCAAAACATTCGGAGGAGACCAAATTGGGGAATGCTTATTTAAGATCACAGAACTACTATTTCATGAATACTGCAGGTTTCAGAGATAGCAGATTTTTCTTAAGATGGTTGATTCTGTATCTCCAAAAAACAAACAAAATGGTCTTATTTTTTCAATATTTTGGGTTCGTATTTCAATACTTTGCTTGCATGGAGTCCTGAAACCCACCAGTTTCCAAACCAAGTTGATCAGATTGCTTAATTTTAAGCCGTTTGATCCCATGAAAGTGAGGCAAAATCTCTTTAGATGAACTAGTTCACTTTAAATGCAAGCACTTCAGCTGAGCAGGTTTTGCAAGAAGCATTGGTCATTGTTTTATGCAAAGACTATTTCAAAGATAGAAAAAAAATCTATTTCAGACTGAGTCTTTCTTGGCAAAAGAACTTCAAGGACTTAGCAGTCCCTTATGGAACAATATGTAATGAATTTAGTACTATGCATAAACGAATAAATAAATAAATAGGGACAATAGGGCCCATGCAAATATGCTTGAATGAACGGTATGAAAGTGGAATCCAGTGCCATTATCATTGAATGGATAAAATATGCATAAAAATGCTGGATGCTGGTCTGATGAATTGGTACCAATGCAATAAATCTGGGGTCTCCAATGTGGTGTCTTCTCCTGGCTTCTACCAGGCTTCCTGTCCCTCCTGATTTTTATTTTTAAGGTCTTTTTTTAAAACAATCAACTGGGAAGCTGGCATACTGTAAAATAATGGGCTGCCCTCTTTATTGGGCTTTAAAAGAGTGTTTTAGATCTCAGGGCCCACCACTACCTTGTACTTAAATTCTAGAGAATGTACTTTTCTTTTAATCTCACCAGTTTGTTTGATAGAAGAGTGTTTTGTAGTGGCTATACTCAACAATTCAGCAATTTTATGAGAGCACCCAACTAAATTTTCTCAACATTCCAAAATTTTGAATGAGCCCAAAAGTGTGGGGATCACTATAACAAATTATCCATGGCACTAACTTTGTACTATTCACTCATGATGGAAAGAAAACACTGTCTAGTTTGTTAATCACATATTTTCATTGCAAGAGTTTTAAAATAGTTGATTTGCTAGAGAACTGTAAATGAATTAGAAGCTTCCATTTTCACTCATGCCAGCATAAATTCTAGATCTATCACTTCTGTTTGAAGCCTAGATTACATAGATGGCCAGGAAAACTTGTCCAAAAAGTAAAGCATAACTACATACAACAAATACATAAAACAACCATTAAGTGAGAGGAGAGACACACAGAACTTTGGTCTAACAAGA